CCTGTAGCTCTATCTGCCAGTATTCTACAATACTCACCACTGATGGGTCCGTCCTGTAGCTCTATCTGCCAGTATTCTACAATACTCACCACTGATGGGTCCGTCCTGTAACTCTATCTGCCAGTATTCTACAATACTCACCACTGATGGGTCCGTCCTGTAACTCTATCTGCCAGTAAGTAACAGCCGACGTACTGGGGAACAATGTTTTAGGGTTTGTCTGGTCCATGGGACGCATTCGTAAGTGAACTGAAAGACACATTGTCACTCAATGCTTAAATAACTCCTTCAATACGATAAAATGATAAATATTTTCGCAATGAAAACAAAATGGCACTGAATTCACTAACTTGTTGTTATTTTCATAGTTTGCAAAAATAACAACATGGTTTAAGAATTATCACGATCGAAAATTACATTAAAAAAGAAAGTTGAATATATGCCTGATTGAATGAATCCAAATCAGTCAATGGCACAAGTAAATGGAAATGTTTGAGTTTATATCTAATACATACCATCCTCCAACAGAGGCTGGTCAAACAGTCCCTCGGCCACCAAATACGCCTCCATCTCTTTGTGATAAAACCGTATCACATCTCCCACCTACAAACAAAACTAGCTACGCTGACACCAACCAAAACATATTCCTTACATTAGTTCTAAATATTTCTAATTATGCTGTTAGAAACACAAATGATTAAAACCTTGAAAAAGATATTTTTTTTGATGAACAGCAATGAAATACCTGAAATGGCCCATGAGATTTTTGTCCAGGATGATCATTGTAATCAACAACTACTTGGATTGTTTATCATTTCCACGAGATTAAGTTCATGAATTCCAGCTTCAAAAAGGTGTTTTAGATTTAATAAAAGCATCTCCTTGTGGTGTTTTATTTTCATACCACCACAATTAGGGAAATGAAGCAAATTTGTACTAATCAATTGTTCCGATATTTTCTTCTAATCAACAAAATGGAAAGTGTCTACAGACTTCCTTGTGTTTTCATTATAAGACATGAAAGTGTCTACAGACTTCCTTGTGTTTTCATTATAAGGCATTAAAGTGCTGACATCTTACCTTGACCTTAGTCTCGTCCTCTGCACCAGGTTTGTGTTTGCGGTAAATAGTGAAGCCACTCTGTTGTACTGACAGGTTAAGCTCATGGCTGGAAACAAAATACACATGTACATATGTCAAAGATGTGGATTAATTAGGTTGCCTTACAAGCTTCAGTTGTTGGGAATTTCCCTTTAGCACAGCGGTAGAGCATCGAGCTGGAGACCAAATGGTTGCAAGTTCGAGCCCCAGCGACGGCACTATCTTTATCACTATTCCTCGTCCTATTACAAGTTGGTGCCGTTGACCCTTCCTGTTTAAGGTAGGAGAACCTTTGGCAGGGAGTCAAAGAATCTGGGTTGGTGTTTGAAAAAAGGGGTGAATAGTGTAAAAGATGTGTATTAATTAGGTTGCCTTTCAAGCGTCAGCTGTAGGGAATTTCCCTTTAGCTCAGCAGTAGAGCATCGGGCTGGAGACCAAAGGGTCTCGGGTTCGAGCCCCAGCGACGGCACTATCTTTACCACTATTCTTGGTCCTATTACACATAAACCTAGTCAAAGATTTTTACATGTAGAACCAGAAATTTATCTACAAATCTGACCTACATCTAGGTCTAAAATGGAACCGGTATAATGTGAAATCCAGTCTATTACAAACAGAAATGGTCCTGATAGAATACAGCGTATTAGACAAATTTTACTTCTAAATAATTGTTGTCTCTTTATCATTATATTTGCTATTTAGATACAATCTGTTTTGAACATAGACAGTACATCAACTGTCTGAAGACCAAAAGTTAATGTGAAAAAATACATTGAATCTTTCACTCCAATGAGATAGTGGATTTCAACCTGAGGAGGAAATGCTTAGGTTCCCAATAATGAGTCTTGCTGAGTGTTTGGCACAGGTCTACAGAATCTTTCCACAGGAAAGGGGCGAGGGATTCTTTCTCTCTTTAACACCATTTTGGCCTTGTATACATATATACATGCAATGTTAAAGGGTCAATGGATTAGTGACGTGATGTTAATGATTCTTTGACATGACGTCATAGGACTATGATAGGGGAATCCCCTGGTCTCAACCCTAGGGCGACACAATGATACAAGACCAGGAAAAGCATGGATGCAGCAGTCCACGGTAAGAGAAATATTGATCCCCAAATTAAGCATAAACTGTTGTGCTGATGAAATGTGTAACTGCGACAAAGGACGTGATTAGGCTGGAGGGGTCACTCACCACTTGGAGTAGACAGAGCTGATACCGACAGTTCCCTTACTGACATGGAGGTAGGAACTCGGAGACTTGACACTTTCCAGGACTATCTGATCGTCTACTTGTACCTGGAACAATCATAAAATGTTTAGTACTGCAGTACGATATGATACTCAGAATCACAGGGGCATGACAAATTAGTTCACTACAGTAAAACATAATACTGAATCACAGGGGCATGAGAAATCAGTTCTCTACAGTAAAACATAATACTGAATCACAGGGGCCCGAGAAATCAGTTCTCTAAGTAAAACATGATACCCAATTAACAACCTGACAAGGGCCAGGAAAAATAAGTTTGTTACATGATAATGTATAAGTTCAATGATTACACAATTTTCGCGGCTGGTTCATTGTCCAAATTTCTGTAGTTCTGAGTGAATATGTATTTGTTTATATAAACTTGAAGGTAACAAGCACTAAACTAAACCTTCCAATAGTACAGTAGAATAAATAAATTTCTACAATACACTGTGTTATTCCACTCTCAGATCATTGTATAAACTTGTAGACTGTTAAATATATATGAGTTATACACCACACGTGGTATATGACCTTCCGTAGATTTGATTGGTCGAGATGATGAACCTTGACCCGACGATAAATTAATAAAAAAATATTTATTTTTTCTCTATGAACTGTTCATTTTTCATCACATCCCAGAAGTAGCTTCCTATATTTTCAATTGATTTAATTGGCAGTTGTTCATATGACACTGCGCACTACTCCCTGTGCTGATGCGTAAATCATCAGAATAGCCAATAATTACCTTCCAGAAATAAATCTCAACATTTTTATTCTGTTTAGTTGGCAGAAGCTCGTCAAAAAAGCCTTTGTTTCTGTGGTGATGTTTTGTGTAACGGAGACATCAGCAAAGATAAATAGCGTTAGAAGAGGAAGGAATGAGCTGCAGAATTAATAAACACTGACAACGATTCATACATCAAAGAGTATCAGGTATACCATACACAAATTACACAACTGTGCAGGCTTTCACCTGTCGAGGGGATCAAGATTATACAAACATCAGGATTACGTTTAACATATGAAACTATGGATATGTACGTGATCATAATATGTGTAAGATTTCCTTCCCTCTTGAGAAATATGAATATTTTATTTAATCTTTTTTACTGATATACTACGACAGATTTCCTTCCATCATGAAATACAAAATATTCAATTGATCTTTTTCATTGATAAAAGACTAGATTTAAGTATATACAGATGTATATGATCTTAACAAAACAGTAAATTAGAATTTCAAATTTTCTGTCTGTAGGCAGTAAAAATGAGTAGCCTGAATGAGCATGTTGTGACTCTTAAAGTGTGGAAGTGTCCGTGTCGGTAATGGATCTCAAATCGACGTATATAACATACAACGAGAATCTTACATCCGTGTCCGTGTCTTATGGAATTTATTAAACTCTTTCAATAACTTGATATGACATCTTATTTACTGCATGTGGCTATTTTTTCGCACTATTTTACTCCACATGAAAAACATAAGCATTTCCCCTTTTACTGTAGTCACTTACATTTAAGACAACTAGAACTGAATGCAGTGAGAATTATAAAGTCAATTATATATTTTTGACTTAATGAGTTATGAATTGTGTGTATGAAGAGTATGCTCCACAAGTAAAGCCAGGTTGATGTTCAGTCTTACACCACCGCCTCTCCTTTAGAAACGTACCACATCTCCCTCAGCCTTGACCTTGTACCGGGGCATGATCTTAAACTGGCCATGTTTGGCGTTGTGGTCAAGTAACTCCACCTACAACAGATCAAAGCTTGGTAAAAATAAATACTGTATCAAATCTAAACTTAAAACAAATGTAACAGTTTTTTAAATTATGTCTCACAGTTATGTAAAATTAGAATTTGGACTACATATTGTAGGTGATAATTGTTGGTAAGCTATGATGGAATAAAGACATTTTGCCTTGAACAGTAAATTGTAGAAACTAGATACAAGAGCTATGATAATCATAATTCCTGATTTTTTCCTTCATTCCATCAGTTTCTTTTACCTAGTCCTCAGAAAAGAGTCTAGTGAAAATAGATACAAATTTGACCTTTAATGCAAAAAAGCTGTTTTGTCCAGAAAGTGTTTAATTTAACAATTGAAGCTGGCTTAAAAGATACCAAACACAAATATACAATCACTATTTTTGGACAACTTTCTACTACCAGATTCTAGATCGGAGGTCTATCCTGGTATATATTTACATACCGCCATGTTGTTGCTCTCCGTGTCGGACGTCTTTGTTGTGCTGACATGGATGTATTTCTTGGAGAAAATATTTCGCAACTGGAAAAACAAAGAATTGGTATACATGTATATCACAGCATAAACAACACTTTGCTGGTGGGTAAATCATGGGTATGTTCCTTTGTAGGTGTAAGGTATGGGGGATTTCTTATTTGACAATGGACATAGAAACTTCATTGAAAAAGGGTCTCTTATAGTCGTTTTGAGAATTTCCTGAGTTCTGAAATAATTCTAGTTGGGTTTTTTTAAACCTAAACTCTTGTTGTTGGATCTAATACGGTAAATATAGCCAGTGCACCCAGCTGTTTTACTTTCGGTTCTATTACTTATACCTAAGCCAACACTAAGTACAGAACCTCCCATTTGTGTTTCTGTTAAATGTTGTGTATTGAGCTTCCTTTCACTGTTAAGCCCTTTTGTTAACAATCAGCTGATGTTGTCTGATAGGTTGTAACAATACACAATTACCTGGCTATTAACAAACACACAATACACCTGGAATCACCTAGCCATTGTTACATGGTAAGGTGACAAAATATGGTCCGATACACAACGTTTCGGTGACAGAATGAGATCAGGCTTTAATATTAAGCCACTTTACCTTATAGACCTTAGCTTGGTCCTTCAACAGACATCTTAAAATTAACACTGTATATCTCAAAGTGGAACCTATAGCTAAGTACTTTACTTTGTCTGTGGGGCTCAGTACAAATTTATAACAAACTATTTATTATTTATTAACATCAAGATCACTTTTTAAAATAACTGACAATGAGACCCAACCCTGAGATGTTGACGTGTGATCTATCTTATGCACATGAACTTATGAGATTAAAAAATGGCCTACTATAAATCAATTTCCTAGAGCAGAATGAAACAAACATGATTCATGTTTTAAGATTTTGTGATTACGAAAATTTTCATTTTTTCGTAAATTCATGTGCATAAGATAAATCACATGTCAACATAAGAGGTTGATAATAAGAGGTTGATAATAAGAGGCTGATAATAAGAGGTTGATAATAAGAGGTTGATAATAAGAGGTTGAACAGTGTATTTTAAAAGCACCGTTATTGACTTTGTAATTAAATACTTTTACTTTAAAAGCACCGTCATTAACGGGTGCTTTTAAAATACACTGTTCAACCTCTTATCAGACTAAAGGTGGTTTATTAAAAAAAAAGTTTGTTTTTTTCCATCGTTATATGATAATGTCCAAGCAGGGTGCATCATTGTATTTAAGATAACTACAGCCTGGTATCCTGGCCATCACACCAGTAAATAGTAACATTTAAACCAGTGATACACAATTAACATAGCAATTAAATACCACAGGTACACAGCGCAAGGTATAAAGGGACTACTACACAGACAACCTTGAATAATAAATTAAAAATTCCCAGCTCCCAGGTACGTATCTCTGTAGATAGTCCACAGTACAGGCCATTCAATCACACGGTTTTGTGTCTATATCTGTTCTTACTGAGCCGACTTCAGTACCTTTTATGTACCACATTTCTGTGGTGATACAAGACACTTTTGCGTAAACTATTCATTAGATTCAATGAGATCTTTACCTTGATCATACAACATCTACCCGGTATCCTTAATGGATAATGCTTTAATTGCAAAAAGAACTCCCACATGATCATACATGTCTATTTGTTCCTTACAAAACATCACAACATGATCATGATTTCATACAAACATTGTAACAGGATTTCAGACCAAAGTTTATTTACTGCGACTAAACCAAGCTGCTTGTGAACAAATACAACATGTTATCTCACTTCACAACAAGCAGAAATCTAATGGTTTTACCCGTGGGTCTCATACTTTTACCATTAATAATTACACTATATAATGTTTCTGTATCTTACAATACCATTCTATTTTAACTTCCACTGTCAATAATCATGATGTAATACTATACACTATCTTTAATCATTGACTCAATCTCTTAGGAATCTGTAAATTAAAACTTCTCTTAGGAATCTGTAAATTAAAACTGGGTAAAAGACTCAAAAATTGTTTTTCTATATCATATGATTTTGAAGGTTCCTTGTATTGCACCACAAAGTTATTTTAAAGCATTTTGTTATAGATTCCTGTGTTCTTCATACAAAATAATTTATTTGTAGAAACAAACAACTGAAAATGTTGAAAAATATTATTTACACAAACTTTACACCTCTTTGATAAATTAACAAAATTAATTAATAATAAAATAATTCAAATAAAAACAAGACTTTTTGAAAGCCTAATCTCCCTAGCTATAGGTCAGTTTAATGCATCTATTCCCAAATGAAATACTAGTAGGACCCCTTTTACTATTTACTGACCTGGTCTTTTAAGTAAGTTATGAAAACTCTTCATTCAAATTTAGGAATATATAGGACATTAATCCATTCCATTTCACAATTATGACACTTGTGATTTTTTTTGTGCAGTTTTTTGCCAAAGATTTTCCCCATTTGGACCCAGGGTTCCCTTTCCCAAAACACCACCATATTCCCCGACAACTAGGTATCCTAAATCCGACATAAAAACAAAATGATTTTCTAATCAAAGCAATCAATGGAATCTTTACATCTGTACACAGGCATTATACATAATATAACACTCTAGTACTATTACGTCAAAAAGTTGGAAATAATAAATCCACCACATGCATGTATATATATGCTATATACAGTACTGTGGGATTAGAACCTTCACCCTCAAACTGGATTTTGTCCTTTATTATGGAGTATTACTTATATAAGCACCAAGTTAATTGTTTGGTCGTTACAGTGAGAAGATTAGCCAGATCTAGAAAGCTGTGGTCATAGTTTCTACAGAGGACAAACAGGTTCGGTGTAGGACCTGTATCGCAGATTGTAAATCGACAGGTGAAAACATGTAAATAGTTAACAGGAAAAATGCAGAATTTAAAATGCTATTTGACTGGGAATTTCAATAAAACAGATCAATGAGCCTGATACAGTGAGATTTGAATATCTTCCTTCTATAACCACTATATCATTTTCATGTTTACTAATATCTGGAATAACCCTAAAGCTAAAAACTACATTAACATCCTAATAAATATCTAAACACCTACTGAAGGGAAAAACAAAAATTAACAATTGTACATTACTTTATTTAACTCTTTTTGCACCTCATTATCTTTTAGTATGGATAATCCTGAGAGCTGAGAGCAATGGGTAATTTTCAGCAATTTTAGCAAAGTATCAGAAATAAGAGGGGCATTCTATGTAAAGTTAAAAGAAAGTGAAAAACGATGAGTGAATTTCATTTTTGAGGGGCCAATTGCCCCCTTCAAGATTGTCCCATGGTAGATATTAGTGTGAACTTTATATGAATGCATGTCATATGGAACTGTAGTTAGTCTTCAGCTCTACAGTATAGGTCAGCATTATTTCAGGGAAATTTAACACTTTTATTCATGACTATGTAACACTGTTGTGTACGTTATTATTGGAAACAATCTGTAACGCTGCATGAAGTTAATACATGAAAACTGATGCTTGATCGACCAACAATTATTATAACATACAAACAGCATAACACAACCATCCACACTGGAAGTGGGAAAATCTCTATCCAACTATAACTTATCATCATCTACCATTGTGAACTATACACGAGTTGTGATATGATAAATATTCTGACAGGTAATGTGTTGTATACACGAGTTGTGATATTCTGACAGGTAATGTGTTGTATTCACGAGTTGTGATATTCTGACAGGTAATGTGTTGTAGACATGAGCTGTGATTTTCTGACAGGTAATGTGTTGTATCCACGAGTTGTGATATTCTGACAGGTAATGTGTTGTATTCACGAGTTGTGATATTCTGACAGGTAATGTGTTTTATACACGAGTTGTGATATTCTGACAGGTAATGGGTTGTACACACGAGCTGTGATTTTCTGACAGGTAATGTGTTGTATATACGAGTTGTGATATTCTGACAGGTAATGTGTTGTAGACATGAGCTGTGATTTTCTGACAGGTAATGTGTTGTATCCACGAGTTGTGATATTCTGACAGGTAATGTGTTGTAGACATGAGCTGTGATTTTCTGACAGGTAATGTGTTGTATATACGAGTTGTGATATTCTGACAGGTAATGTGTTGTATTCACGAGTTGTGATATTCTGACAGGTAATGTGTTTTATACACGAGTTGTGATATTCTGACAGGTAATGAGTTGTATACACGAGTTGTGATATTCTGACAGGTAATTTGTTGTACACACGAGCTGTGATTTTCTGACAGGTAATGTGTTGTATATACGAGTTGTGATATTCTGACAGGTAATGTGTTGTATTCACGAGTTGTGATATTCTGACAGGTAATGTGTTGTAGACATGAGCTGTGATTTTCTGACAGGTAATGTGTTGTATATACGAGTTGTGATATTCTGACAGGTAATGTGTTGTACACACGAGCTGTGATTTTCTGACAGGTAATGTGTTGTATATACGAGTTGTGATATTCTGACAGGTAATGTGTTGTATTCACGAGTTGTGATATTCTGACAGGTAATGTGTTGTAAACACGAGTTGTGATCTTCTGACAGGTCATGTGTTGTATACACGAGTTGTGATATTCTGACAGGTAATGGGTTGTACACACGAGCTGTGATTTTCTGACAGGTAATGTGTTGTATCCACGAGTTGTGATATTCTGACAGGTAATGTGTTGTAAACACGAGTTGTGATCTTCTGACAGGTCATGTGTTGTATACACGAGTTGTGATATTCTGACAGGGAATGTGTTGTATACACGAGTTGTGATATTCTGACAGGGAATGTGTTGTATACACGAGCTGTGATATTCTGACAGGTAATGTGTTGTATACACGAGTTGCGATATTCTGACAGGGAATGTGTTGTATACACGAGTTGTGATATTCTGACAGGTAATGTGTTGTACACACGAGCTGTGATTTTCTGACAGGTAATGTGTTGTATACACGAGTTGTGATATTCTGACAGGTAATGTGTTGTATACACGAGTTGTGATATTCTGACAGGTAATGTGTTGTAAACACGAGTTGTGATATTCTGACAGGTAATGTGTTGTTTACACGAGTTGTGAGATTCTGACAGGTAATGTGTTGTATACACGAGTTGTGATATTCTGACAGGTAATGTGTTGTATACCTGAACCACCTGTCCGTAGACCACTTTCTTCCCTTGTTGTCGCTTCTGTTCAAGGTTATTGTCGTCATTTTCTGAATATGCGGCAAGCTACAAATAGAAGTAAATTACCTAATGAAACAGGGATACTCCAGGCCAAAATTTGGTCAAAATCCACTTAGCCTTTCTAGTTACAAAACTAGTAGCGTTTTAAAAGAAAAGTTGGCAGATGGATGATAAACAGACACCTTTCCATGGCATTAGATTATCGGTCCTTGTGACCAGGTGAGCTAATAATAAATATTAAGGCTGGGCTTTTCAGTTGAGCACAGTTTGATATAAACTTAATTTTTATTGTACATGTAAGATTTACACTACAAAGATAATGAACTACCCTGATGTTTCGTGGCAGTCCTGTCATGGAAAGTGTTGGGCGGCATGGAAAACAATCATAATATTCAAGTCAATGTTGACAATCCTATGGTATAAACTGACCCAGTACGTGGTTGAACATCTGCCTCTATAACATCTATAACATGTGATATCTCACTTCTAGATTTCTTTGCTATGTTTGTAAGACATACCTGAGCTTGCGTTGTATTTGTCCGCAGGGAGAGATTTTCTGGGTCTTCATTTAATTTGCTGCACAACTTTCTGTATTTCTTGTTTAATTTGTAGCGGTTTGCTACACATATTTCAAAGGATATGACTGTAAAATAAAGGAATAATCAGCAATGTAAATTCTTTAATTTCCAAATAATACAGTTAATTCATATCAGGAATATCAAGGTTACTAAAGACCATGTAATGTAACAAAGTGTTCCTAAAATCAAATCTAATTGAGTTCCCTACAAATTCATAAAATGTATCTGACATTCAATCTATAGTTCCAGTACAGGCCGAATGTATCAAATAGTTTCCCTACCAATATACTGCCCAACCATAATTTTTAAAGCCTTTAATATTTAAGAATCTTGTATTTTGTTAGTTAGCACCACTTTTACTGTTTAGGAACTATATATATACACTTTGTACATGTACGGTAATCAATGAAAAGATAAAAAAAAATCTTGATAAAGATATTTACACTTATATGAAAAAAAAAGTCTGGGCTTCACACACAGTATAACTTAAAATTTCATAATAAATTTCCAGAAATTTTAATATTATTGTTTTATATAGTTTCTGATTGACTTGAGTGGTATTGTTATCCCCATTACACCTATCAAATTAAGCAAAATCATTTCAAGATACAACTGTTTTATCAATTTTGTATCATACATTCAAACATGTACATGTATAATATCTATATTTGTGATTATTTTAATCCCTTGCTTAGGCCCTACTTTTGTTTTTAAATACTTCAGCACTAGCTAGCACCGTCATTCCTTTGTACATTATAAAATGCTATACTCCTCACCATGTTGGTCCTGTATGTCTGGTCGGACACGGTCCTGTCGACTTCCTACAGCCAGCTGGTTGTGTACCGAGCTGTAAGTAAAATAATATATAAATGATTTTACTTGTACACAAATCCATATCATCCAGGCCTATTTTGTAGGTACAAATTGATTTGAATTTCATTTTTGAGATTGTGCCCAGAACTTTCAGAATTCTTACAATATTTTCTTAACTTATCATTTCAGAAAACTTTGACTTATTCAAATTTTAAATGTACATCTCTTCACAATTAGAAGAAATGTATAATATACTACAGAGCTCTGGTTTTATACGTCTGCAACTATATAGCTGAAGTGATGACATTAATGTGCTCCAAAACGTGTTTGTTCAATGTTATTTGTTACATATTTCTCAAGGAAAACTGGATGGTAGTTCACAATTTCAAAAAGCTTGGAAACCATATAAAGTTGGATATCATCAGTTTCTTGACTGGGTGGCAGCTAATAGACTTTTTATAGTATTTGTCTTGCCGTCAGAAGCTACGTTATTGCAGAGCTCTAGTCTGGTTTCCTTTCTATTGTAGACTGAAATGACCATGTCCTTGTAACAAAATCTTAAGGGGCGCAGAGATATTCCATCTCTGCCCCTTCAAAAAAATAATTAAAGGGACACAGGCAATTATTTCGGACTACAGGTGAAAATATAAACTGCCCATATCATTATCAGGCCGCCTGCAGGGTATGATGCTAGTTAAAAACATTCGCTAAACGGTTTTATTTTTTAATAGTTGTCTTTGCGATCGTTCGTCATAACTAATTCAACCAACACCTTCGTTTGCAGTACAAATGCATACAAAAGCCCAACGTTGAGAAAAGTTTGGATGTCAGATGTGATTCGGTTAGAAACCACCATCTACCAAAACATGGAATCCCGTTCAAGTTACATCTTCAATATTGACCAGTGAAATAAGTAGCATCAGTGTTCACTATGACATTATACCAGCAGAAATTATGACGACAACTAGAACTAGAAAATTCCAATAAACTGGTGGACTCCACAGCTGATCCTCAGTTCGCGCGGATTTTTGTAAATCTGTATCACCCAGACGTTTGCCAGACGCCGCAGCCGAAATATTGATAGACTTACACATGCCCCACTATTTCATGATCCCCACAAGTACAACAAAACACTGGCGAATCTAAGAAGGTGGGGNGGGGGGGGGGGGGGGGGGGGTACTAGCATACGTGACATCCCCTGCTATTAATTAAAAAACATATATAGAATATATATAACTGGCTAAACAATGTCTATCGTGTGACACCGCTGTAGGTGATCATTTTGATTGCATAATAAACATTAAAATATTTATATTTTTAGGCATAGGTAGTTAAGTAGATATACTCATTACGTGTTACTAATAGCCTTACTATGATCATTTAATAAAATATTGATGATTGTTTCTACTCAACTAAAGAATATACCACGAGCAAAAAAGGGAAGTTAAAAATCGGTATCTCACTTCACATTTTGCAAAATGACATGGTATTCAGACTAGATGCGTCACAAAATAAATTGAAAATCTGGAATGGTGACACGTATACTCCTCTGATAAAGTTCTGGATCCACCCCTGTCAAGGTAGCTATTACTTCTACCGTTATTCATTTGTCTATTGTAACATATAGAATTTCCAAATTAATTTTATAACACAGTCACAAAAATGAGCGTAGACTGGTAGTTTCGCCCTTCATCCAGAAACGTGTATACTTGAATCACGGAATTATATTATCTTTAAGTACGTGCGTGAATGAATTACATACTTCGATCATAAGATCAGTCTTTGAATCGCCACTTGCTTGACCACTGACCTTTCTGTATTTTACGAGGTTCATGGCACTTTTAATCACAGATTTGAAAGTATACGACTTCATTGTCATATCCCCTCGTATTTGCAAGGAAATTGACTACTTCATTTACTGCTAAAAATAAATTAACCGTCCAAGATTCAATACTTTTTTAATTTTGCTCTGACACACAAAGTGTGTAACAAGAGGTTATACAAAATAACATCAATCAAATCAAAGATGACAGAGAGAGTAAACTATACATGGACAGATTCTGTCATTATTTCATGGACAGATTCAGCATCAGCAATATTTCATAGATATATTCAGCATTATTTCATGGTCAGATTCAGCATTATTTCTGAAGTGTGATAAAGCAAGATTACACTCAGATATCATCATCATCATCATCATCATCATCCTATCATCATCATTAATCACCAAAATATCATCATTTGTTTGATGTACATATGTATCAGATGTATTGTTACAAAGTATCATTCGTCCTGAACGTAATAATTCACGCGGAAGGTCACAGCTATACCGTGACAATGGAATCAACGATATAATTCGGGTTCCAAGTGGGTTTTGTCAGGGACTTATATGGAACCAAAATCTACGTAAACTCTACTTCAGATAGTCCTGTACATGCTTGTTTAGTGTAACACGTACTTTCTTTAAAGCATTTCGGAGTGTGCTCCCACGAAGGCAATATAATAGGGACTTGAAAATTATTATTTCGTGCCTGAAATATCACCGATGTTAAATTAAATCTACATGTTGTGCTTGTATAGGCTGCTTATCAAGTGCCTTTTCATTATATTTGTGCATTGTCGTTCAACTAATTCTGCAATGCGACACTAGATCTGGAAAGTACTATTTGTAGCCAGCATATAGTAGAGTTCCCACAATGGGGTTATACCCAAGAGTGGCCGGTGATTACCTAATAACTGGTAGATATTTAACGTTGGAACTGTTCCAGGACGGCGTTAATCTAATAGTGTTTATTTGGATGTGACCGTCGATTTAGTGTTTCAACATGTGTAACGTTTACATTACCGTCTATATTTTGCCAACGGTCGGTTTGGATTTATATTCTGGCAAGTCTAATGTTTAGTACAGGAGAAAGGAAGAATGTCTATAGTCAAATAAATTCAGTGAACTCGAAACAGATAAATAATAAATAGTTTTAGCCTCATTTCTTCAAAGGTTCCGTGCGATTCTACTTTCATCAGCTACCTAGAACGTGTGTAAATTCTTAATTCATAGCACCACGCAAAGTAACGACCATAACCCGGATGTAGTAACCAGGACAGGGCTGTTCTTTACGAGTCATTAAACAATAATAATTAAGGTGCAATATTTGACAAACATCTGAAAAATTATCTTTACATAATTTTGTATTTCTTGTCACTAAATAATCCTTTAAAACCTGTCTATATGTATTTTTGAATTTCAGAAGTTTAAAAGTTTTCTAGATAAAGCATCTGTCTAAAATAAGTGATAAGCTGGCCAAGCATTGAAAAGCCGAACCCTGAACTTATTAACGACTTATCCCTGATATAAAAGTGTATTTGAGAAGAATTATATATAATTTATAATAAAAACTCTGATCGATACATGATAACGTGAAACACTAGCTGTAATCAATGTATCTTTGTTTTATATTCACATTTCCTGAAACAGATATCTTCAGATCAACTCGGTGTCAATGTTAGTCACAAATATTTTGCAGGATTCGTGTATTGCTTCACACGTTCCAATTAAAACCTTGATTATTTAGTTATTTACAGGCAGCAATCCTTACACCGAGTTTCAAGTCATTGCTTCTTATACAAATTAACCGACAGTAGGACCATACTCCTTTGATCACAGTGCAATTACCAAGTGAATGAACCATATAGTATGGAGAATTCCACAGAAAGTATCTGGGCGGACAGGGGTAGAGGATTAATAAGAAGAAGTTAATAAAGACTGGCGGACTATTGTATTAAAATACTCGATCTTAGAGTTTAACGTACCGATATGTTTTGTATCAGCTGTAATCATGTTTACCCCGATTGTATACACTTGAGACTGCTATGGTACGACTACCGTTAACGTTCGTATTACTTAAGTATGAACTAGGACTGAAATAAATTAACAAACAAATGTTATGCTGCCAGCTATTGTTAATGAAGTGTATTCCGATCTGCTTTGAAAGCCCTCCGATATTTAGTCTGCTCTCTGTACCCTTGTTACTGTATATTGTGAAGCCACGTGATTGTAACGCTTGTATAGAGACTCCTTACACCCAAACACAACAACTACCATTGCTACTGTATTGTGAAGACACGTGATTTAACGCTTGTATAGAGACTCCTTACATCCAAACACAACAGCTACCATTTGCAGTATTGGTATATTAGTAAATATAATATAAGCACACATTTAAACCTCAACAACAACCCAATAATAGACGATCTAACCGCGACACAAGTACTATTGAAATAGTTCCAAGGGTATTCTGTTGGTATTAACATGTTTGAAATAATTCATTCACTGAAAAATATACGAAAACATGTAATAAAGTATATTTTGTATGCATAATTTAACGTCCCTTGTTAGACTCAAGCTTGAATTATTGCAATTAAATGCAAAGTTTCATGTTCGGTATTAAGAAGGGGACACATGCTATCCAGCATCCTCATCATATTCATCTATTTGGATGCACAAAGTACGATTTATTCACCTCTTTCCTGATCTGACTACTATATTATGATAAGATATCGGCTGACAATACAGATTTGTTATAACAAAACAATATACGACATTTGATATACCTTATCTAGCTAGAATAAGCCACTCTAAAGCACTTTACAGTACATAGACATAGAATTTTATACAATCAATACAATTAGCATACATATATATACTACTAGTCATATGCCACCTAGCTAATATCTCCCTATATGTGTATGCCTGCGTGTGTGCTGGAGATGTATTGTTTTCTGATTGTAGTGGGACCGTGCTTCCAACGGCACTATGTATAGTGCCACCTCACTTGAATGCTACAGCACATATACCGCAACATCCACCCGAGTTCATTTTTTACTCCACCTGGCCATGGTTTGTTGGAGTTGTTCATACACATTCACACCTGTATATTGTATATATGTTTACCTCAGTAAACTAAATACCAGTATCTTACGGCCAAAGGTTAAACATCTAGTTCAATATCTGTTTTATATGTAAGCAAACTTTTTGTG